ATCAAAATTTAATTTTTTGAGAATAATAATAAAGATTTAATTTTTTATGAATTTTTTAATTTTAACATAAATAAATTATTTTTAATTAAATAAAAAAATAATAATTTCAAAATACACATAAAATCAATATTATGTGACAAGTTATCAAATATATACAAAACTCAGAATATACACAATCAAACTTTTTTTTTCTTGAAAAATCTTAAATAATTTGAGTAACCACCTATTAATCGTTAAGTACATCTCATTTAAGGTGTGGAATTTCAAATCCCACTTCTTTTAATTTTGTTCCTCCTATTCACCCATGTTTAATATGTTATTTTCCTTGATATTTGGGGTAGAACTCAGATTTTTCAGAGATCTAACATGTATTAGCTATTGAAACAACTCCCCATCTTTTAGCATGTCATCATCATATAACTTGCTTGCATTACCAGCTTGTTCCTGGGATCATTGTCCAAATTTCTTGACTAAGTCGGTCAAGGAATGATAACTAAAATTTTTAGAATTATTGAACAAAAATTTGCTGTGCTTACCGTAGTTGTACTGGAGATTAGCACAAAAAAAGAGTACGTACTCAGAATCAAGTTGCTTTCACTCACCAGAAGACATAGTGTTCCAAAGTTCAACATCCAGTCAGTCTGCTGTCCTCTTGTCGAACGGCCCTCTCTCTAGTGAAACACTGTATTCGGCTCTGTGCAATAAATTGAGCATCACCCATTATTAAGTTATTCTTCAATTTCAAAGTTTAATCAGCAAATCAAATGTGATAACAATTGCTGTGTGATAATCTAGGAACAAAGTTTCCATCCTCTCTTTAATGTGATTTGTCCGAGGTGTTCTTAGTTTCATATGTAACGGTTATACATAACATCTCTCTGATAAACACGTAGAGACATCATAAAAACATGGCATAAATCGGAAATTAGATTGAAAGAGTAAGCTTCTTACATTGACATGAACACGAAGGCAAAACGTAGTGAAAATGGTGCAATGAAGAAGAAGTTGGTGATAAGCCTCCAGACCTGCCCTAAAGTAGGAATTCTATACATTGGTCAAAAAGCTTTTGAATTGAAGTCTTGCATGGTGAGAAAAGAAAAATGAAATTTAACTGATCAAAATATGTATATTATATTCATATTATTTACCTGGAAACGTATGAAGACACCTTCAAAGTAGAGTGCTGTGGTGTCTGAATCGTAAAGACCAAGGTGAGGGCGCCAGTGGTCATCAAACAGGCCACTCCATAGGAGTTGCTCATAGGTGGCAGTGATCGATAGAATCTGAAAAGAAAAAATGGGTTTCAAATACCCAAAAATAGAATCAGCACTGCAGTTTCAACCGGCAGATAACAGGATCAAAGAACAACAATACATTTAACTACACAAGAACACAATAAGAGACAGATCATAAGGAGAAAGGAAAAGGATATTACTCTCCGGGTGTAGACATGGGAAGAAGAAACGTCTGGACTCTAGGTGTGTTGTGTGTGCTTTGTAGAGTGTTTGGTTAAAAGGGGAGAGAAAATTGTTGTATGAGAAAGATATACCATGATAAGTAATGTAATGGGGGTGTGACTGTTTTTGTCTCAAGTAGGACTGATGGAAATTCTAAGGGATGGACTTTGGCCTTTTCGAGTCTTTTCTTGAAGGTTAATTCACCATAATAATAAAATAACCATTAAAATTCAAGCATAAGTCTGCAAGATCTTGTAATCTCTCCTGGGAGAAATGCCCCTTCTTGTCTCATAAGTTGACCTGTGCACAATGATCAACTTGCAGTTCCTATAATATTAATTTTATAGAAATTGCTAATTTTCTGTAATTCCTCATATTCTTTTCCTTCTAGTAAATGGCATATAAAATATCAAAGGGAGAGAAGTTGAGGACAATCTCAATGTTAAAAAGAAGATAGATACGAAGTAAAGTCATGAATTTATTACTGGATAAAATAAATATACAAGTGGTACAGCATGTCTTAGAGTTCACTGGTATTGGCAACTCTACTTGTTTGTATATCATGGCATCAGCTCGCTGAGAAGCCTTCTTGATGCCCCTATATTGTTACTTGACAAATGTTTTCATTAATACAAAATGTATTGATTGTATAACAGGAAAAGATTTCCAGGTGTTTTTCTTACTAAACTTCAGGACCCGCTGCAAATAAGGAAATCAGGCCTTGGAATACTTGTGCTGAGAGTTTGTGTGCTTGAAAGAGCTCACCATCCAGATTCCAGGAACTCTGCTTGCCCGAAGAAGTAAATGTGAAAGCTGAGGTCTGAAAACAATATGTCAAATTAGCTACAAAAAGGATCTTGGTAAACACAATAAAGATGAGACTTGGCAAGAAAATGTCACCTTGTGATATTCCACAAAATCAAAGTTCAAGGGATTTCCACCTTTCTTTGCCAGCTGCATGAGGTGCCTGCAGATATTTATCGTTATTCTTGATAAAATGATTATTCTAAGCATGGAGAACCATGCTAAACAACTATTAGATTATCATGATACATAAAAACTGATTTGACAGAAATTTGAAATCTGTATTGGTCACCCCACAAGATTCAAATGTTAAAATTGTAATATATTAAAATGCATACATGGACACATACAATCTCAACAATCAAGAAGCTTAGCTATCTCAATATGAGAGAAACAGCTCTAAAAGCCTAGGGATGCCAAAAACCTTTAACAAGAATTATTATTATTATTATTTTTGGTAAATTTAAGAAGAAATCAGACAGAAGGGGTAAATGCATTATGTTACCATAGATAAAATGCATGGGGACAGTCTTTAATCAATAAGAGATGTAGGAAGCCATCTGCAAGGTGTGCATCAGCTACCAAACCATCAGGTGCTCGTTCATTTCGATTAGACATTATTGCAGCACCAACACTAAGAAAACGGCCTTTGGTTCTCAACCATCTTGTTCTTTCTATACGTGAGTAAGGTGTTGCACGGGGACTCCTCATAGATGAATAAACTGGTTTTCTAGTACAAATTTTGCAGTTTGAACGGCAAATAATTCTTTCAGGGTTTTTTGGTGCCAATAGACCCCGCACCTTGTTGATAAGGCGACCCCCATCAATTCCTGATTTTGGTTTTTCTGGTTCAACTTCCAGGTACGCTATTTCTGCCTCATATGACCTAAATAAGATGAAAATAGACTATTGATATCTAAGATGAATCAAGTACAAAACATTGGTAAGAAAGAAGAAAGTTTACCGTTGAGACTTGCTGCAAGGGAGGACATGAATAGAAAAAAAGGAACGGAAATGCACAGCATGTCTCATACAGCCTAAAATGCATGTATTTCAAAGACCAAATTTACTTAACACATTTCTCAACTTGTATTTCTAAAAATTATTTGCACAATTACCTTTTTGAAACATGGATTTCAAACCCATGTCAATTATATTTCATCTGAAAAATGAATTCTAGATGCATGTCTTCAAAATATGTATAACATATGTACATTTGAAATGGATCTCCCAAATTCAAATTCATGTTTCCTGAACACAGCCTCTAAGAAATGCCAAAACAAGCTGGTTTGAAACTTCAAAGTTACAGAAGCATATCAACTATCAAGTCATTACCACTAGAAATACCTGTGTCCCAAAAAGACTTTTGTTCCTGCATAATCATAACGCTTGGGACCCATCCACCGGTATTTTTCACTCTCTGTAATGACATCTCCATAAAATCCATACCTGACAAGTTTAGTAGATGAGTTAAATGTTCTTATATAGAAAAAAACAGACAATCAACACTAAGACTCTTTCCATTACTCAACACATACAGTAAATGTCTCAGAAGCATACAGCAATTGGAAAAATGGGAAAAAGAAAAGAAAGATCATTGTTAAGCACAAGGTAATTTGGAAAAGCCAGAAGAAAGTTGAAATACTAGCCTTTTCTAATGATAAAATTATTAAAATCAGGAAGGCCTTGAGCAAAGATTAATCAGCAACATCAGTAATGAAAAATATAGAGAGACAAGTTAGACCAGTCATTCATAAGGTTTAGAGGAAACTAATATATGAATGGAGGAAAGAGTTAAAGATAACGGACAAGGAGGAGACAGGAATTAGGCTTCATTTGGGAATGCTTCACACAGCACCTTAACTAAAAATGTAAATTTATTAATTTTAATTAATTTTAATATAATTTTACTAATTTTAATTAGTATTTTATATATATTTTTGGGATAGTAAAAGACAGAAAAACCACAGCCACAGCCACAGCCCAGCCTAGCACTCCCAAATGAAGCCTTAGTAGTAGAAGGATTGGGCATAAAATTAGGAGAAGGATTGGGCTTCCTAAGAGATATGGCAAGCCGATTTTATCAAAAGTAGAACTGAGGCTAAACAGGATGTGGTAACATAAGAGGAAATCAAGACACAGAATGTCCAAGAATCACCAAGAATAATCTCACAAAGAAAAAGAGACTAAAGATAAACAATAAATAAACATCAGACAAACATCAATAAAGATATTCAATCTGCACGCGTTTGAAAAGCTATCAATTAGCATTCATGAGCACAAAACCTCAACTTCATTGGACCTTAAAAAAAATAAATAGCACCAAAATTTGCACCAGGACATTTACTAAGATATATATTCTCTGAAGGCTACAAATCTGATGTCAGTGATAATAAGACAATACCCAGCAAAAGAAGCCGCATAGCGTATGCATGGTTCAACATTTGAGGTCAATGTAGTTTTCCACCTTACAACTTGTGCAACATCAAGGCATATCCTTTTCCCCAGGACAATGTGCAGTGCAGATGTAACAGGATCCCGAGCGCCAGTGGTGCTGAAAGTAAAAGATCCATAGAGTCAAAGAAGATTTATACATATAATTGGCTCCAAGACTATACAAATTTAGAAATACTTAAATCATAGAAAACCATCTTCATTAAGTTTCCATAAAAATTTAATAATGTTGTTAGCCTGTTACAGTTTAATGAAGAGCACTTTGCAGAAAGTGCCAGTCTTTAAAACTTGAGCATGCATTATTGCTCTTGTCAACCTATATTCTTACCACATATGAGACAATGTCCTTCAATGGTTTGACATGCAAGAAGATAACAAACAATGCATAAGCCAGGAAGAACCAACATTCCATGATAAAAACCAGGTTCCTGACTACAAGAAAGGTGCAGAAAAGAAACAGAAAAACCTCTAGAGGACATCTGAGGTAGTTATATAAGAGTATTTAAAAGAAAGAGACCTTTTTAACACAAGTAAGTTTGATTATCAGCAGGCGAAACAAAGAAGTGAAGCTGTGAAGGCATAAATCCTGTGGGCAGCTTTTTGTCAAATATATCAAAGCTTAGGGCAGCATTTAGATTGTAAAAAATGTTTAACATTTGATCTAAGGCATCAGCTAAGTTTGTAAATGGCACATGGTTTATCCCAAAAGCCACTAAATGTTATGCTACTCAAGCATGCACATATTAATGCACAAAAAGGGATGGGAGGGAAGAGGGGGCAGGATGTGCAAGATCTATTAGAACTAAAACATTGCAACAGCACTGGAATTGCACCCTGAAACACAAACAGCTAACATTATGAGGATAAATCCCTTGAATATAATCATCCATGCAACAAACCAACAATGCAACTATTAAATCCACAAATCAAGCTCACCAACTTGAGCACAGAAACAAAGCATGAGGAACCCTTTGAGAAAACATAAAGAAGGGGAATTCATCAGATTGCAAGAATATACCATATCACTATGGCATCGGTTGAACCTGCAGGAATTATTCCAAATCTAAACTGCTGATTTGGGAGGGGAAACTCAGAGTCTTGATCTGCTTTTGTCAACACAATCCAGAAGGAGTTTGTTATCTTTCAGGCATTGATACACAATTATAATATATCAACAGAACAACAGAGGATAATAGAAAAATAATCAGAGTGCCATATCACCTTAATTTATAATGATATGGTATAACTAACCTATGTTGCTACTAGAAGCATCATCTGTCCCTGTAATTATAGAAGAAGATATATTAGATACAAGCTATATCAACTGTAAATTTTTTACATGCATGACAAGATAATGATTATGATACACACTAGAATTTGAGAATCCCATTCCAATTTGTCTTGGATTCACGAGAAGAGGGTCCTCTTCTTTTTGATGATTCTCAGCACCTGTTTCATCAGGACCATGAACTGGAGAGCTTCCATCAGTTCCAATAGCTTCAATGAAATCTGAAGGTGCTGGTGGAAAAGGAGCTTTATGCCGTAAAAGCAAGCCATTAAGGATTTCATTGAAGAACCCATCACCACCCTGGAAATTAAGCAATTAGCAGAATAAGATAACCCATAGAATATAAATACTATGAGAAATGACTACAAACTACACAAGCTGTATAAACAGATAAACAAATCAAAAAAGTATAGTGCAATCCAGACTGTACCGGACTGCACTACACTAACCACTAGATAGGGGGTGGGCCCCCTGATATTGGGGGCCCTCATCCCCATCCAATGGTCCCTGTTTTACAGTCCACTGCAGTCTGGACTGTAAAACAGGGTTCCCTAAACAATTTTACTGATATAAGACTAGTAAATATTTCATGTGAGAGGCATCAGAATACAAAATCTTCCATCATTGTGGATTCACATAAAAAAAATACCAGGAGATGGATAGTATGGTGAAAGATCACCTAGTTAGAGCTTTCATCCAAATGGAGCACAAGTCAGACACAAAATAGCTTAGATGGGCAAATTTTATTATCTTTATGAACTTAGCAACTATTTTTTATAGTGTCAGTAGGACTCTACAAACGGGAAAGATGTGCATTGCATGAAGATATCCAATCACTTACAACAGCTACAGCGCCATCATATGAATTGAGCTCCTCATTTGTAGTAGATGCCATCACATCAAATGCATGTCCAGCCCTCTCTGTCACAAGAACCTGATGAAATGGAAACAAAACATATTACAGCATAACGAGAGATTTCATAAATTCATAATTGCTTTAAGTATCTGAAAAAGATAAGAAAGAAAAATGAAAACCCAAATGCACTTCTATACATGCAGAATTAGGCCAAAAGAAACATTTGGAGTAGCCCTAATTTTCTTGTCATAGTTATAACTTACAAAACATCGTTGAAAAACATCTTCCTGTCAGTGACTGTAGTGGAATTTGTAGTTATTTTTAGGAAAACATTGAAATGATCACCAATTAAGTCTCCATATTTATTAAGCACGTGGAAGATTTACCTTTGTCTTTATTTTTGAACGTGAAAATATAGGAGCAACAGTTTCCCAGGTCCTACGGCCATTTGCTTTCCCACTCATTGGGTGAACAAAAACCTGGTCAACAGGAAAACAAATACTTGAAGTATATTGCAGATAGTTTTGAGCCCTTGGTTAGTAAAAATAAATCTTCAAAAGCATGTGCTGTGTTTTAACAAGCATAATGTTATGTACCAGAAGGTTCTTTGGTCTCTCAACTTCCATATTCAGAGAAGCATCAATTAGTTTTACCCACTTCTGACATGTTTCCAAGTCTTTGTGACCAAAAGTGTATGAAGCTAGGACCCAAAGACAAGGCTGGGACTTTGACTTTTGAACACCATGGACTATGAAGCGGTGCATCTGCTTCAACACAAGAAAATGCATCACTCAAAAATATAATCACTGTTTGAGGGTGCAGGAGAGCATAAAATTAAAACAAACCTCTATATTATGAGATTCATGGGCCAAAAAACATTTCCCAACACCTGGATGCCTAAATTCATGAATCACACCATAATTGGTTAACTCTACAGCGTAGATATCAGAGAATTTAATCTCCCCTGCAACTTCATGAACAGATTCAATTCCGCAGCAACTTGATCCAACCTTTCAGTGAACAACATAAAACCATCAGAACTTTAACTTATCCTATCTAATTCAGCTAAGTCTATACTAGTATCCAAAACGTCAAAAGCTGAAGAGTTGAAGAATAAAAGTATTCGCTTGCACTGGTGAAAAAAGTTAAAATGGCATCCACACCTAGTTTTTCCTAAGACGATAGTGCCAACCCTAGTAAATACAAGCGTCAGACTGCATCTGATAAATCCATAATATATAAAAAATCAGTACATACAAGAAAACAGGGTAAGCATGAGAACCAGCCTGGACAGGGTAAATAGAATGAAATGAATGCCAACAGAAAAACTCCATTACTATCAGATTCTTGGGTAATACACTTCAAAATCACCAGAAACTGTGACCAGATAACAATCAGATAACACTGAGAGATAATCACAAAGGAAGGGGAAAAAAAGAAACCCCATTTTGATATATGCTTGATACGACCAAATGGAGAAACTAACATGAAAGTAAACTGCAAATTGACACAACTGAAGAAAAAAAAAAATACAGAATTTCAAAGGGTACTTACGTTCTCCATGGGGTCGAGCAATTTCCAGGACAACCCATCTGAATTAAGAGTAAGAGTGACCTCCCCAACATTATCCAACGACAGATTCGAGCTCAAATTTGATGCAGACACGGGATTGGGATGAAATTCATTCCCTTCATCAGGGTTTTCACTGTTCCTTTCCATCCGTTTGATTAATGGGTGCACAAACAATAAATACAACGAAGTCTAAAAATTTTGGATGAATGTCAACAGATTTGAGCTGAAAATTGATGGGCCAGTATTCGGTTTTTTTATTTTTAGGATTTTTTTTAATTTGTTGGTTAAGAAAATATCGAAAGAGAAAGGCTTCAAAAGTTAGCGGAATTATTGCAGAGACATTTCAAGACAAAATTGGGCTGATGTCAAGTTTGGTCCTTTGACTTTTAAAATGTTCATTATGATCCTCGTGTTTGTGGGTCTTAATTAGAGAAGCCCGCTTAGAGAAGCCCGCTAAGAGGACCTGGGTGTCTCCAGGTCATTAAGCACTTAAGGGCATGTTTATTTTTTGTCTTTAAAACCTGCTATCAAATGGACACAATGCATGTGAAGTGTAAACCTCATTCCCTCAAAATGTTAACGATTCTATTGTAATCGTACATTAATCAATATCAAAACTAAGCAATTGCATGTATTTCGAGACAATCATGTATAAGAAGATGATTGAAATCTCTAGGCAATATTCTTTGCAACAATAAGTGTATCCGAATCCCATGAAGACTAAGTCATTCCATTTGCAGGCAGTTGCAGTTTCAGGGATGCACAGTGAAGACCTTCACATCATCCATTTCAGGGCTTCTCACTGAGTATTGAAATGTCCATCCATGACAAGCACCAGCATGCACCCCGTCCTTATTTATGGCAAAAACAGCTCCAACAAAATCTGGGAATTTTCTGGCAATTCGTGCTATTGCATCCTTAGCAGCAAGCTTAGGTTCCATCCCTTGTCTCATGCTTTCCACAACTTGATAACTGGAACAGAACACACAACAACTTCAGAGAGAAAATGATGAAGTACCTATCTGATGAATCAGGTATTCATATTTGGGCAAGCAGCATACTGACCAAGATAGAAAATAAAAGAAAATAATGACTTTTCTTCCTGAACTAAGCTATATTTTCCAACACTACAAATGAGAAACTCCAAGGATTGTTGCATTACCAGGGAAGAAAGCGCATCATGATGTCACCATCCCCAGTTGCACCACATGCACCAACTTCAGCATCAGCATATGCTGAAGATCCTGCAATTGGTCCATCACCCACCCTGCAAAACCAAGCAAAATGCCGTGAGGAGTAATCCTTACCTTTCAATGAACCAAGGATTATGATTGGGTAATATTTATCATAACATTAAATAGAAAATGTTATGGGATTTGGTTTGGCAAATTCCAATTTGATAGCAGCTTAAAGCAGTAACTTATCAAATAACTTACATATCCTGTGTACACAAACAACATTCAAAAGAGGGGAAAAGGAGTAGAAAGGAATCTATGAAGAAAGACTGGATGTATACAGTTATAACCATATATAACTTCTGAATGACCAAGCAGCCTCATATTTATCTTACCTTCCAGGTATCTTAAAAGTGGCTCCATTGGTTGATGTACCAACAGCAACATGCCCCATCTGTGATTAAAAAAAAAAAAAAATTGTTGAAATGAAATCTGTGCCTTTGCAGATATGTCTGAATATTAACAAAATAAACTTGCGTTTACATTGACTTACTTTATCAATAACTGCCATTGATATAGTATCATGGTTGTGAGGACCAACAAGACACGATCTAGATTGAAGAAACTCTGTCACATTAGCTCCCGAAAATGCCTCCTCATTATGGCCTGAGCAATCCTCCGGCTTGTAAGGACCACAACCATCAACAGGTTTAACATTTTTCCTAAAATTAGGCTGACAGTGATTCTCTTTCCATTTAGTCCATTTCTCTAAAGACTCTGATGAACTAAGGTTGTTTGGTCCTGGGAGGCCCATTGAGATGGCAAAGACAGAGGCTTTCTCCCCAACAAGCAATGTGTGTTTAGTATGTTCCATTACCAATCTTGCAGCTTTCATGCCATCTTTTACGAACCTCATGGCAGCTACAGCTCCCACCTCCATTGTGACCTATAGTCCTTAGCAAAACACCTGATTTTCATTTTTAATACCCACAGGAAACAAAATCACCAAAAAGCAGTAACTATATTGACTAATGGTGTTACCCCATTCATGAGCAAAGCATCAATTGTGGTTTCTCCATTCTCATCTGGACTTCCACCAGGACCCACTGCCACAACCAAATTCATGTTATTGAGAATATAGACATGCTTCCTAAAACCATAAACCAGATAGTTTGTTTGAAATTTAGCATAGAGAAATTTCTAACTTGAAGGTATTCATGGGAAAAAAAAAAAAACAATAGCATATAGAATGTTCTTATGGAACAATCTTAAAGATAGTCTAGCCAATACCCAGAACAGGTTACATTTCAATCCATAGAAATAAGAACATAACAATGGCATTGAAGTATTATGCTAGGCTACCAACCTGTACCATCACACCTCAATTCCTCACAAGCAGAACAACCCTCCACCACCGCATCAACCGCAGAAAACCCTTTATCCACAGCCCTCCAAGCAGCTCTCACAGCCTCGACAAACGGCCACGTGCTCACAACCACCGGATACTTCCCCAAATCCCCCACCCCCTCTTGCCCCAACACCTGAAAATCAACATTTCAGTATGTGTATACAAAAAGATTCAAACTTTGACTAGATGGATAAAAAATTCATTAAAAAATAAGAAATTTGAAGAAATACCATGGAAAACAAGGTGAAGAAGAAGAACAGTAAGATGGGCAGATTCCTAGAAGCCATAGGACCTGTTGTGTTCGGCTTTCTGTGAGACTCTTCTGGAAGAACACAATCTCAACGAAAGGTGTAGACTTGTAGGTGGAGGATGCAATGCTAAGGTGACAGGAGTTTGTGTCACCAGGCGTGGGTCGAGGGAAGTCAAAAGCCTGGAACCCACCAGGTTGCTATGTTATTCCGGGAAAAAAGGAGGGATGTTTAAGTAATTGACCGTGTTTAAAATGTTGCAGGAAGAGGCGGGGTATAGGGGATACTGGAGGGTGCCACTAACCGTCAAAACCGTCGCTTGAAGGAGTGGAAGAAAATATCCTCTGCAACTCAAGTAGAAAAGGTTACCAATTGCATTCTGCCATGTCATCACTTTCGTTGACTCGGAAACTTTTAGGACTTTTCATTGGTGGTCATGGTATGTATTCATGAAACTCACCGTAGAGGATCCACCAAAAGGTAGACAAAACCAGGAACAGAGCGCACCAGTGTGGTTCTGTTTTCATTTTTGGAGAAACTGAGACGAAGAAAATGAGAAGGTGGCTCTGACGAAGGGTTGCGGAGTTTTTTTTTTTGAATTTTCTTGAGAAAACGAGGGAAAATGAGAGAAACTTTGGGAATGGAGAGGCAAAGTGATGGAACATACATAAAGAAAGGACCATGGACTGCGGAGGAAGATGAGGTGCTGATGAATTACGTGAGAAAATATGGCCCCAGAGGGTGGAGCTCCATTCGATCCATGGGACTTTTGCCGAGAACCGGCAAATCCTGCCGACTAAGATGGGTTAACAAGCTTAGACCCAACTTGAAAAGGTATGATTTTGATTCTCCAGAGAGCATTTGGATAAAAGGAAATTGAATAGTACCTTGGTTTATAACCTGTTTGTAAAATTTCCTCAATGGGGTTTCTCTGTTGAGGATAGGTGATGGAAAATAAACAATGGAGAGACTTTGTTTACTTGCATGATGATGAAATTTGTCATCTTTTTTTCCTTTTTTTGTGTGTGAAAATGCATAGTGGATGCAAATTTTCAGCAGAGGAAGAGAGGGTGGTGATAGATTTGCAAGCACAGTTTGGTAACAAATGGGCAAAAATCGCCACTTATTTGCCAGGAAGAACTGATAATGATGTGAAGAATTTCTGGAGCGCAAGGAGGAAGAGGCTGGAGAGGATTTTGCAGACACCTCAACCAAAGTCACAGAAAAACAAAGGCAAAAGTCCTGTTCTTGATCGACCATCACCAGCTCTTAAGGTAAAGAGTCAAGAAGGAATGGTTCCAAAGAGTTTGTCATAGGAATTTGTAATTAACTTGACACATTTTTGTTGTTTTCAGGTTAGTCCATGTAGGTCTGCTAGAGTGGGGGAAGGATCCTCATCTTGTGAGGATCAAATTCAAGTTACTGAATCTGTTTCTGGTTTAGGAAACACTGAAGAGTTCAGGATGGTGCCGCTGCCTGATCTGATCAAGCCAGAGATGCTAAGCATGGAAATTGAATTTCCAATACTTGATGCTGCACCAATTCAGATGTTTCCCTCAACTGAATCCTCATTAGATTACCCTCTCTCTCATTTACCGCAACCACAACTTGACTTCCCTGTCTTGCCACTGCCACCGTTTGAGGGCCTTGCTCCCAAACCTAGTGATCACGGTTTCCAAGACATGTTTGAACATCAAGAGGGTTCTAAGTCCAAAAATGAACAAAAATTGTTGACTAAGTTACCTTCTGTTGGAATGGAGGGGAATGCCCAAGTGGCCAAGAAGGAAGACAGGGGTAACCCTGAAACCCCAGACAGCTTCTTTGATGAATTTCCAACTGACATTTTCGATTATCTCGAGCCTCTGCCAAGTTCATTGGATTGGCAAACTGTTAGCAATTGGAACCCTATGAAGTAGAGTTGCAACTGTTACTCGTTAGGCAATGTGCCAGAATGGTACTCTGTTGTTGATGTAATATTATGATCTGTTGGTGTAAGCTCTGTTGTTGCTGGGAGCTGCGATAAGAAACTAGGCTATCTATTTAATAGGCCGACTCGGTTGTAAATGTAACTAAGCTGTTCATGATGCATGAATTTTATCTGGTATTATACTTGCGAGAAGAGAGATTAAGGGAGGATAATTTAACAGGTATCATGAGAGGCCTTTTGGAAAACTACAGATATAATCCCTTCATAAAATCTTACAAGAAAGTTTACCCTCATAATTCACTAAAATTTGGGAAGTTAGGAAAAGAGAGAATCAAAAAGGCAATGCTTTGCATCTATTCTTCTCCAAAAATATGCAGCAAAATATTGCAAACCAATAGTTTTTGTCCTAATACATTAACCATGAGAAAAGATCTACCTAATCAGAATGTACAGACTCGCCGCGACAAGCCTTTCCCCAGATTTGGTTTGGCAACCAATATGATAACTGGCATGCATGAGACTGACTTCATTAAATTTAGAACTTCATCTAGAGAACCAATTGGTTACAACTTGTGCTTGATGACTTTTTTATCTCGACTATCTCCAAACGGTCTCGTTTGCATCCGTAAAAATAGGATTGTGATGTTCTATTAGGCACTGGATAACCTCAATAATACCAAAATCAATTGGCATGCCATCATCCAAGGAAACGTGGGAGGAAGCATCCATTTCTTCTTCCTCATCTGTAGTCACATCAAAGATGAGAACATAAGATTCTTCAATTCAGTGTAACATATACTCAGTCACCACCAAGCTTTTTATTTCCTATAGAACTTCAGAAGAAGAAGAATTAACTTATAGTGGAGGTATCCAAATAAGGATACCTGAGCAATTAAAAGTAGATCTATCATGGCCGAAAAAGTAGTACAACTATTTGCTACCAGAAATACAGATGATCCAAAGTCTTTCCCTTGCTTTTGGAGGGATTAAAGTGGCATAACTATTATGGCCAAAATAGTAGTAGAACCATTCTGGCCAAGAAGTGGTCGAACTATTCCGGCCAAAGGAGACCTGGTTCAGAGTAACAGGGGGTTTTGAGAACATAAATCACTTCCAGAATTTATCACATAGTTTCCTCCATTACCAATTCTATATTTAAGGCTATTAGCTACCTACCAGTACAAGAAAATCTATGTATTCTGTTAAATAAAGGGAAATGGCTATTAAGTTAGTCACAAGAACAATAGATTATGCACAGAATGTATATAGACAATGAGATCAGAAAGGTATGCTTGCTCAAGCACAGAATACATTACCACAAACTGTAGAACATAAGGATACTCACCAGAAAGCATGGCCCAAGCACTATAATCAGGTTTAGGACCCATGTTATTACTGGAAGGAGTTTTATGTGGGTGACACCAATACCGTCTATAAGATTCTGGTCTGTGATCCTGCTGCCACATAATTACAGGAGCCATCTCCATGGAAAGGCTTCGACCATCCATCTGTAGAAAGATATACAACCATTAAAATCAGTTTGAGACTTATGACACAATTGTCTTAATGAAGAGAAACAAGAAACCTTTAATTATATTGGAGTTTCCTGCACAGTGATCATAGAGAAGAAACTTAAACAGTCAATCTCTCCAGTTAAATTATTTATGAAACTTCCATACCAGATCATACTGATCATTAAGTTAATTTTAGGCAATTGATGGCCCTGTGTGGGAATCAAAGCATTGCTTAGTCCAACAGTCACAGATCAAATGACTGAAGCACTGAGCAGACGAAACAATTGGAGCACCAAGAAAAAGAAACTACCATACCTTGTTAAGAAAAGATTTCTGGCTAACATGGAGTAACAGTGCAGTGATGAACTCAAGGGTCATGTAGTTTACAGTAGGAAGTTTCCTCAAGATGTTTCGCATTGCATGTATGCTAGAATGGGCATCTCTAATCTCGTTATAGAGCTCAAAGTTCATCAATGGCACAGGAAGACTTGCCAGGTAGCATTTAGCCAGAGCTGCCACATCAATTGGATTCACACCCTCTGGCAATGATGCATTCGGATCTGTAATATACTCGTATACATGCCAAAAATAAATTAGAATTTAAACAAAAAGAAGAATTTTCAGCCAAGCAAGAGCAGGCAAGATGTAGGATACCTTGATTGTACACAGAAACTAATTGCTGAATGACCTTTTCATCTCCTTTAGCTTTAAACAAATCTGGCGCATTTAATCCTAAAATTCAAAACAGAGAAGTTATATACTCAACTATAGTAATATATGGTTGATAATTATCAATTTGTTTCCTCCATTTCTCAAATGAATCACCTGATAATATGAGATAATCAGCACAATTGACCAATATATGTGGAACTGGCCTGCTGGATTGCTGTCGTTGCACAGTTACTTCAATTGGAACTCCAAAGACTAAGGATGAGAATAGCAATTACCAAACATAAGATGCAGATAATATTTGCAGAAAGCTTGTATTGAGAGAAATTAAAGAAAAAATATGAAAAGAAAATACACAAACTTCAACAAATGAGTTTACCATCTGTGCTGGCAACACCCTGCATGCAATAAATATAAGTAAGAATTAGAACACTCACAATTATGTGCAAGGAGAAAAAGATTATAAAATAAACAAGATTGAGCATCATATCACTATACCATACCTTCTGCCATCGTTCAATGTCAGTTAGAATAGTCTTGCTTTTCTGTGCTGTCTTTTTGGCCACCTGAAAGAGACTCATAATCACATACATGCATCACTCTTCACAATAACTGGCAGAGAAAACTACATTAGGCTGTCGCAATTAAAGATGACTATTAATACCAACAAATTCATATCCCTTTAGTACATGATACATCTGGGAGGCCAAATGGAGGTGGATAATTTTCACCATTGAACCCCTACAAAAATTACAGAACCACGTGCTGTTCTTCACCATTGAACCACACTCCTACCCCAAGAGTAAGGATAACAAAGGCCTTACCTTCAGAGTTCAGAAAAAAAAAAAAAAAAAGGTTTTCACAATCTACAAGGCTGTGTGGTGAAGCTCTATTAACTAAAATAGATGACATAGAAAGCAATCTACTAGATTAAATTTTTTCAGGATGCTGACAACCCGGATGCAGAAAACAACCAAAGTAAAATCAAACAGCTAAATTTCTTCTAATTTACCTCTTCAACTTTAATCTTCCCAACTGTAACCTTGTCCTTGGTCCCATATATACCCTTCCTCAGCAGGGTCCCAGTCGTAGCAGCAGCTGATATAAGGCTTTCCTGAACAGCATGTCTTGTTGCTGGCTGCCGCAGAATCGCCCACCGGCTCTTGACAATGGAACCAACTCGTTCCGCCGCATCTGCCACGTTATCTTTCGCATCCTTTGCCACTCCTTCCACGAATGTCCCCGCCGTTTGCCCAGCTTCCTTAATCTTTCCCCCTGCGTCAACTCCTCAGTCAAACACTTAAAAAAACCGAAACTTCAAAAAGAACAAAATCATTCAGAAATACAATTAAAAAAAAAAAAATACCTGATGAAGAAAAGAAGCCAGTAGCTTTTTCCTGCCACTGATGTGCCGCCGCCAAAGGCATTGATTCCGATCACCAAAACCTAACCAAACAAAAAACACCGATTCAGAGCACTATAAACTCAGAAAATTCAACCAACCAAAATCAAACCCATGTAAATTAGAGAAAACCCATTAGATAAATCAAAATTAATCCCCAAAATTCAAGAAAACAACAATAAAATTCTCCGTTTCAAACCCACAAAATCGACAAAAAATCAGAAAAGAATCGATTTGAAAGAAAATTGATTTACCTTCTTCGATCAAGAAAGAAAATATAGAAACTACAGTTGACTGAGGAGAGACCTTTTCTAACTTCAATGATGATTATTCCATGGAAACAGTAGAAAGCTTCGAGCTTTTAAAGTGATAGTTCTGCAAATTTCTCTTCTTTTTTTTTTTTTTTTTCATTTTAGTTTTGACGGCGATTTAGTTTCGGATAAGAACCAATAGGAGAAACGACAGATGGAATTCTTTTTTCGTGGGACTGCAATTTAACGGTTTAACTGTGTATTTTTGGGTGCAGTACACACTATTAAAAACTTTTATATTTTCTCACCAGGTTCGTGTTTTGTGGATTGAAGAACTGCTACGTAGATCGGAACACAATAGTGACGGTTTGGATCAGAGAATTGTTTAATGCCCGTTCGAATTATAAATTATAGAACTTTATTTTAATTTTTTTCCTAATTTAACAAATACAATATGATCCTGATCGTTATGTACATTCTGCAGCAACAACAACAAAAATCAAAATTTGATGTACTTCTAATTATGGGAGGAAAAAAAGGATACTTTTAAATTGTAAATGACCAGGATTTGCAACTCAGTGCAAACTTTATTTTCTTCTTGTGAAGAGGTCTCATTTAAACTTCATATGGTCATATTATGATTCTTGTAGCTCACCCTCCTCGTCCACTTGCCCGATAAGTCTTTTCCAAAACCAGTGCTCCCTCCACAGTTTATCCATCTGCTCAATGGGGACATTCTTTGTCTCCGGCGATGACAAATATACAAACAAAGACACCACTGGCAACCATCCAGCAAAGAAGAAGAAAATCCCAGACTTGAAGTGACAGAGCATGGACAGAAAGTCCAATAATGAAAGTCAAGAAAAGTTCTACTGTCACTGTAATGCTTTGCCTTGCTGATCGAATTTCTAGTGAATAAATCTCAGTAGCCACTAACCATGCCAATGGACCCCATGACAATGCAAATCCAGCAACATATAGACATATAAAAATTAAGACTGAGAAAGCATACCCATTTGTTAGGCTGCCATGATCCCCCAACTTTGCTGCGATTATCCCTCCAACAATTATTTGTGACAGAAACATTTGAGCTCCCCCCAATCATGAACAATGCCTTTCGGTCAATTTTATCTACCGTACGCATAGATATGATTATAACGATGGTACTCACAATGCGAACCACAACTGAAGTCAGGAGTGAAGCAGTTTCTCCTTGGCCAATTGTCTGGAACAACATTGGTGCATAGAATGTATTGATTTTGATACCAGTCACAAGTTGGAAAAATGGAATGGATATTGCCATTACTAGTTGAGGCCTGTACTTTCTTTGCATGATGTTCTTAGATGGATACTTCATTGTTTTTGAGACTGAGCTTGCTTTCACGAGATCATCAAATTCTGCTTGGACATCAGTAGTGCCTCGTACACGCTCCAGCACATATTTGGCTTTCTGGTGGTTCTTGCTATGTATTAGATTGTTCGGAGTATCTAGAAGAAAAAGTGCACATAGTGTTAAGATTGCTGCTAGGGACTGCTGACATAGCTAAGGAGATGCGCCAACCCCAACCATCCTTGATCTTGTCAGTGAAAAAATTGATAACATTAGCTACAAGTACGCCAATGGAAACGCCAAATTCAAAGCCAACATTCATTTTTCCCCGTCCCTGGGTAGTGCCATTTCAAATATGTATAGTGGCACTGACTGCAAAGTTAAAAAAAAAAACAAAAAATTAGATATCAAGATAAAAAAATTGATGCGCAATCTAACTAATATAGAGGGAAATGATTATGTTACCTGGATTGTAAATCCAAGCCCTAGACCAAGCAAGACACGACCAAATATCAGCATGTAA